GCCAAGAGGCTTTACCTCATTGGTGATAAGGACATCCGAGATGTCGTCAGTATTGTGTTGGACGAAACACTCAAGAATGGTCATATCGAATTACCCAAGAGAACACCTACGACCACAGGGTCATCTGAAAGTCGACCGTTGCCGCGACTCGATGAGAACTCAAATGCTATCCTGGTCCCCTCTCCAATGGCGATCGACCCTGCGACTACCATTAATCTACCCAGCACATCTTACACAAACATCAACGCAGCTGACATGCAAGTCCATACCAAAACGCGTGGCGGGGCGTCAGAAGCAACGACAACTGTTGTGACACGCCGAAGTATTGCTGAGATTACTTGGTCTCGGGCATATCCAGCAAATTATGATTCAAGTACACGAACACATTGTCGAACCGTTTCGGACTGCTGCTCACCCACACATGGGGGCTCACGTTCGTGCCCAGATGATCGTCGACAGAGCTACCAGAGGCTGACGAAAGACGAGTCTGTCCTACGACATTATGCCACACCAAAAAGCACAGCTGAAATACTGGCCGACATCATGTGCAATAAGAGTTTTGAGCAACAGCTGAGAGTCAGCGACGGGACTGTCATCACGTCTTTCCCCAGACTCTTTTCCCGTGACTGCACCACTGACCTCACCTTGCAAACCGAGAGTGACCAGTCGAAAAAGCATACTCCGCCCACGCTTTACCAAGACGGTGTCGATGCCCACTGCGGTGTCGAGCAGTTGGCCGCATCGAGTTCTTCTGTAGAGCCCTCAAACACACACTCATACAACAACCCTTTGTTCGCTGCTAACCCATTCAGAGCGCACCCAACCAAACTGACAGCGGCAGGGAGACATCTACCAACTCCTCTTGCGGCGGAAAGAAAGCTAAGTGCCTCACTCGACGCAGATACACGACGACGACTGAGTGCCCATGTCGCCGGCATTGGGGAGGAGATGATCGATTCTCAAAATGGTTCACGGCAAAGTCTGATGGACAAAATCAAACAAGGAGGCCACAAGCTTTTCCACAAGAATCACTTTCGGAAGCCGACGGGAGGAGCTCCGATCAGAATAGCCGAGAATGATATATCGCCGGGCGGCTTCTTGCGCTCCAGGGACAGCATTGCCAGGGAACCCACCCCTGAACCACCCAAGCCTGATGATGAAGAGATATACGAAGCCATGGAGCGGAGCAAGCTCAACGTTCCACATCCCAGAGAGGGGGCATGCTCCGAGGACAATCAACCTCATGAATGCGTGGATGATTTGTCGTCTCGCGACATTTCACTCAAATAAGCAGCGACTAATGAGAAGTCAAGGGGGACGACAAGACATACGTACCTAGGTAGATCATTTCATATGAAGAAGCGAACCTAATGATACTCTGAAAAGACCTTCAAGTTTTGTTTGGTATAAGGATGTTGAGGTAGTATGCTTGAGTGCATCAGGAGAGACCGATGAGTGTGTCACATCACATGCAATTAATGTCTATTATCCATATACTATGAGTCTATGCCGCCTTGCTAGCCCTCGCTTTGTTCTCTCTATGCCGCTTCTCTTTAGCCGCAGTCTTGCGACGCTTCATCCATGATCTGTTGAGATCGCGTCTGTTATCCCAGAACCAAGCCTGAAAATCGCTTGAGCTTTGTGGAGCAGAAACATCTTTCTCGTCTCCATCCTCGTCGAAGCCATGCTCTTCCATGTCGAGATCTTCGTCGCCGTCTTCCTCATCCTCAGGCCAGAAGTTGCGCATTCGTGAGGGATGCGCGGTGTCGGGCGTGGGCGCAGCACTTCTAACGTTGCGCCATTCGAAATCCTGGCGAGAGAAGGGCGTCATGGGCGCGGGGGTTGCGATGGTAAGGTTTGCGGGGTCTTGGTCCTCCTCGTCTTCGATATCGTCGTTGTCAACGCTTCCAAAGAAGCTGAAGGGCTCAGCTTCCTTCTTGGCGGGAGTCTCTGTGGCGACCTCGTCGGGCTTACTACGCTTATAAAGGGCCTCAAGGGGGTGAACTTTTGTAGAGGGTGTTCCAGGAGGGGGTATCTTGATGGTGAGACTGCGGGAAGAACTTGAGGACATGGGTCTTGTTTCGTCGGCTTTGATGGCTGAGAGGGGTGTGGCTTGTTGGGGTGGTTCGGGGGAGTCGGCTTCAGAGTCGGAGGACTCATGGCCTGGCTGAAGAGCTTCCTTGGTTGTGTCTGTCTGTTCTTTCTTCTCTTCGACTTGAGCATCAACTTCCACCTCAACCTCACTCTCCTCATCAGATGAGCCGCTGCTACTGGTACCACTGCTACTGGTATCGTCATCTGACTCCTCGACAGGAGGAGGTGTCACCTTCTTGACCTTCTTCTTCTTGGGTACAGGTACGGGAATCTTCTTCTCCTTGACCGTCTCGACTACATTGCCATTCTCATCGACCCAGCCTTTGCCCTCAATAAATTCGGTGGCTGTGGTGGCTTCTTCCCCATCGGCCGAGGTCTTCAAGAAGCTCGGGAATTTTGTGGTCTTCTCGAATTCATGAACAGTAACTTCGCGCGACTTGCCCTTCTTCTTGCGCTTTCGGGGTTGATCGTCCTCAGGGAGACTGGAGATGAGATTAGGGGGGACCTTGGTCTTGAGCAGACACTCATCTCCGTCTGTATACTTTGATTTTAGGCGCTTCTTCTTCTCGGTGTGTTTGCCATCCTTTTCCTTTTCCTTGTCCTGCTTGCTCTTCTTTCTTCTCTGATCGGCGGGTTCTGTCCATCCCCTCTTGACTTTGCGGTCTGTCAGAGCGACGCCCCCGACCACCTCGTGATCACGCTTTCGTTTTCTCGATTCCTCTTTGGATTCCTTTGACTTCTTCTTTTTCTTCCTGGATTTCTCCTCTCCCTCCTGGTCAACTTCACCGGCAGGTTCAACTCTCTGTTCTGGTCTGGCCTTTTCGATCCGTATTTTGTTGCCCTTCAACACAGCGCCATTGAGCTTCTTTTTGATCTTGTCAGCCTCCATTGTTGGTAGTTCGACAAAGCCGTAGCGTCGCTCGGGAAACGTCTCGAGGGTGTGATATGAAATGTTGCGCGCCTTTGGGGCTGCAGAAGCTGGGATAACGATCTTGAGAAGCTCGGGATCGAGAGGGCTTATGTGAAGCCTTATGTAGTCACTTGAAGCAGACGTGGCTTCAGCAGACATTGCGAAGCGAATGGCGCTGTCGTGAGGAGTTTGTGCGACGCCAAAAAGCGTCGTTGAAATGAGTATGTCGCTGTCAATGAAAAGGGACGAGCTTTTGCTTTTGCGATTCCAATTTGGGGGGAAAAAGTTCCAAGGACCCTTGGAGGAAAATCTGCGACTTCTGATTGGTCGAATGGAGCGACTTTGATCCGGGAGTCCTTGAGTGAGTGTAGTATGTATATATATTGTATGCACAGAGAATCACCTAGATAAAACAAACAAATACGGGATTTGAGAAACAACTCTTGGGAAATTGGTAAAGGAAAATGGTTCAGGTTTGAGATTTAACCAAGAACAGTCTCGTCTCACAAGGACGAACCTGAAACTGGGTAGACAAGCTGACTAAATGACGTCTCACTTGCCGCTCACATCTCAACTCCTTTGTCGCAGATATTTGATTCAAAGAAGCATCTGCCAGACTGCATTATGCACATTCATCGGAGACGGTCCGAAATAGGAAATCGGATCTGAGCTGATGTGACTCTAGACTTTGGGGTCGATAGTTCCCGGGTCTTATTGTGACAGACCAGGGATCCTTGAAACCCTCGGCCTATGCTGCTGGGACGAACAGTGTCACAGCGAGCTTCGTCTTTTGGGGTTATACTGAGTCTAGATATTCGACATGGAGGCATCTTCAGGTCTAGGTTTCGGTGTCATGCTCGATTCAACTCTATGCTTATGCTTAACGATGGTCGCATATACTCTCGACATATAAAAGGCATGTAGATCCTAGGTATCCAAGCAAACTCATCACTTCTCAACTTGTTTCTCTTCAGTTCGTAAATCCCTGGCGGATCTCTGTTTATAATAATCTTGGTTTATCTCTCTTTCTATTATTCCGTCACTCACTCACTCACTCGCTCATCTAAAATGCACTTCCCTATTCTTCCCATCATCATCACACTGGCTGGAAGCGCCCTCGCAGGTATGCATCCTTTTCTTGCCGAGCCCTTTAAGAACATACCTACTAACGCATATAAGCGCCCCATCTTCCCAAGAGACAAAATCCTTGCTTTGTGACTGGTTCCGAAGCTCTCCCCGATGAAGTTTCGACACAGGCCACGAATCTGGCCTCGGTCATCACCTGCGACAATTCGAAAACAACCATCGATGGTGTCCCGGATGTGAGCTCTGGCGGTGTGACCTTTTCTTCCATCAACTTTGCCGAATCAGGCCAAAGTCCTTTGGCTTTCGCTCTCGACAAGTTTGCAACCACATCACCCCTGGCCAACAACAACCTCGATACGTTTCAGAATGAGCTCAATGTTTACCTCGCAACTGAAGCTGGCATCAGATCAACTGGTGGAAACCTTGCGATCAAGGTTCCCAAGTTCTTCTTGCAGTTCCAGATGGCTCGCATTCAACAGGCACAGGGTGCTGTGTCTGACATCCCTGGCCAGACCGTTGACCACCAGTTGGAAAAGGTGCTCAAGAATGCAGCTGGAGAGGACCAGGCTCTTCTAGACCAAGTGAACGAATTGGCTGTGAACTTGAACTAAGTTCTAATGAATGGTATATAATACATAATTGCTCCGATTTCCTCCGTTTTCGAGCCCGAACAAGTGACTCCAGCCTCGGGGAGCAAGAAAACACAAGACTCTAGAAGATAGGCTCATTGCCAAAGTCTTTTCATCACTGAGGATAAAGGTCCTTAAGTTTTCTTGCCTCCCCCTGTCCAAGTCAGCCATCATTATAGAAATACATCCAATCATAACAATTAGAGAGGAGAATGCATTGCGCCAGAACCTTTTCAGAAAACACCTGCTTCCATCATGACCCAAGCGCCAAAGAAATCATTTTAAGAAGTGCCACGGAACCAAGGCTGGGGATCCTGCTCGTGCCTGTCGCCGCCGATGGCCTTCCACCAGGTGTCGGTACTCCAGCGAATGATACGCTCGGCGGCACCCAAGGGTGTAGCGGCAGGACGCACATCGAGGAAGAAGACAGGGTCGCCGTGGGCATCGGGCTCGCCAGAGTAATAGTCGATGATGTATCGAATCTCCTTCCTTTGACCGTTGATCTCTCGCGCAACGTACCAGTCGTGTCGGTCAAATGGAGGCTCGGTGCTAAAGTGTGTTAGCCGCAGATCGTTTGCACGTTAGAATCACGAATCCTTACCCAAACTTTGAAGGGTAAATCCAGCCCAGAACCTGCATCATGGTGGCCTTGGGAGTTAACTCCTTGGGTCGACCCTGGAAGCGAACGAGACTAGGCTCGGTATCAATGCCGTCCCTTTGACGATCCAGCTCTTCCTGAACATGACCTTCGCCCCTCTTGCAGATCTGCCATCCCTTGTAAAGCCCCCGCGCAAATCGTTGTTCCCAACCAAGAATCTCCTGCCATGCGCCCTCGTTCAAGAAGTTGTGTACCGAAACCATGCCCTCGACAGCGGTGATATCGGTATCGGTATATCCCTTGCGCAGCAGCGCGTTGTACATCTGCTGAGGAGACGGGTACTCCCAGTTGCCATCTCCAGTGCCCTTGGGAATGGTGGACTCATCTCGGGTTGTCGGGAGAGCGAATGATTGGTTAGGAGCAGGTTTTTGCGATAGATCGGGGAACATGTAGTTGAGAGGGTTGAGCTGGGAGATCAAAGATTTAGGCTGATCTTGGGTTCGGGCGGCGTGAGGAACGGGACATCCTGAGGTGGAAGGAAGATCGACAGGCTTCTTGGGCTTAGCCACAGGGCTCATGGCATCGGCAGACTTTTGGTGCATAGGGCAGCCAGGCTGGGGAGAGTTAGCGATATGGTGAAGATGTATGAGATTGCGGTCATACTGGAGGAGCCTTGTCGGTAGTAGCTGGGTGTCCGACAGGAACCGCAGGAACAGGCGTGTCTGCCCAAAACCAGCCCATCGCGAATGGCTATATATTAGAACTGGGAAGGTCGATGAAGTAACTTGGTGTTGTTGGCCTGGGTGTCGAAAGAATCGAAAATTGTGTTTGGTGATGATGACAAGAACAAAGAGTGGATGAATGGATAGAAGCAAGAATTTCCTCCGGTTGCCTCTACTAGAGTAATGCGCCTATCAAAAATTTAAGGCCAGCCCAGAGCGGGAAGACCGGGGGAAACCGCACCAAGGCCAGGTGGGTTACAATGGAAATCGAGAACTATTTACAGCGTTTGAGCGAATCATAGGAAGTCTATTGGCAAGATGATGAGCATTGCGACCAGATCGGTGACCATTAGACGGAGGCATGAGTGTTGAATTCATAATATCTATGGTGTCTCTTAGTGTTTGATCTTCTGGTTTGGCTCAGTTGGCATTGATGAGCCATCATGGCTGAAATATTCCTCATGATTCCTTTCCGATTTATTTCCGTTAGAAAAGATAGTTACAGTGGATACGAATTTTGTACGTCACTCTGGTTATCAGCCCGACGTCACCAACACCAATTGTTGATCTAGCTCGTTCCCAGGGGATCCATTGGCGGGCATCCTTGTAAATCGATCCGAGTCTTTGCATCATTAACGCGCTTGCACATGCCAGACCTTTCTCTTTTCTATACCAATCTGACCACTCTCCGAATGCAATCGCCCCTAGGCTTTGCTCGAACATGAGAGTGTCCGCGTCAATACAATTCTCTAGAAAGACACTCCCCCTTCCGAGATGAGAGCTGGCTCCTTCATAGGCCGGCTTTTCGTCCACCCGGGCTTCCGAACATACCCAAATGTCAACGCCCACGCCAGATTCACCATCGCTAGTCTTGGTCGTCGATTCGCGTCCCAAAGCTCCCGCGGCCCTCGATTCACACAATGGCCCAAGGGCGCACCGAAAAGAATAGCACTGCGCGCTTCTGGTGGTGCTACGGCACTGGGAACGGCTGCTTTTGTTGAGCTGTCGCAACAAGAAAACGGCAATGATCGAGAGACAGGCGAGAGGCGCATGCTCGAGGTATCACGGGCCGAGGTGAAAAAGGGCGTATCAGCCGATTCCCATGGTCTTTCCAGGCTCGGAGAGCGCATCAAGTACTTGATCGACCTCCTGATCATCGAGCCCGTATGCACTGGTTTCCGTTTCCTCCAGCTTGTTGTAATTTTTGTTCCGGTGATAATCACCATTCCTGCCATATACTTTGGAAAACGACAACCTCATAGAGACAACGAACGGTCAGGTACGCTCTGGTGGTATGGCTTCTTGGTCAACGAGATGGAAATGGCTGGCCCAGCCTTTATCAAGCTTGGACAATGGGCTGCCTCGCGAACCGATATCTTCCCTACCGAAATGTGCGAGATCATGTCTAAACTTCACTCGAATGCGCCGGCTCACTCACTCCATGCCACGCGCGTCACGGTGGAAGCCGCTTTTGGTGGCCGCCCCTTTGAAGACATCTTTGACGAATTCCAGGAGAAGCCTCTAGGTGTTGGCGCTATTGCTCAGGTCTACAAGGCCAAGCTGAAGCCCGGTTTGGCTAAGCCAGAGGAAGCTGATCTTCATGACACATATCCTTTGGCGCAAAACGTGAAGCGAAATGTTGATACAGTGCTCAAGAGCTCCCCGCAGAGAGTACCATCGTCCTACGTTGCAGTCAAAGTGCTGCACCCATACGTCGAGAGGACGGTACGACGGGACCTTCGCATTATGGGCTTCTTCGCTTCCCTGCTCAACTTGATTCCCACGATTGAGTGGCTCTCACTGCCGGATGAGGTTGCTCAATTTGGGGAGATGATGAAGCTCCAGCTTGACCTTCGCATAGAGGCCGCAAATCTGGCCACTTTCCGGAAGAACTTCAAAGATCGATCTACAGCCTGGTTCCCATACCCGTATACTGAGTACACAACGCGGAATGTCCTTATTGAAGAATATGCCCAGGGCATCCCATTGGCAGACTTCATGGAGAACGGAGGCGGCGTCTTCCAACATGACATTGCCGATGAAGGCCTTGACGCTTTCCTCCGCATGTTGCTTCTTGACAACTTTGTCCACGCTGATTTGCATCCTGGCAACATCATGGTGCGATTCTACCAATCAGCTCACCCCGAGCTGCGTCTGAGAAAGACAATGACAAAGGCACATCCCGATGAGAAGGAAGATGTGACCGAACAAGTGCTTGAACGACTTCGACCATATCGACACCGCAAGGACCCCAAAGCGTGGGAGGCGGAGCTGGCCAAGATCGATGCTGAAGGTTTCCGACCTCAGCTCATCTTCATTGACACTGGACTCGTGACTGAACTCAATGCTGTGAACCGCGAGAACTTCCTCGACCTCTTCCGCGCAGTTGCTGAGTTTGACGGTTACAAGGCCGGCCATCTCATGTGCGAACGTTGCCGTCAACCAGATGCTGTACTCGACAAAGAAGTTTTTGCCCTAAAGATGCAACATCTGGTTCTCGGTGTCAAGAGCCGCACCTTGGCTCTCGGTAACGTCAAGATCGGCGATATCCTGCAAGAGGTGCTTAGCATGGTTCGAAACCACCATGTTCGTCTCGAGGGCGATTTCGTCAACGTCGTCATCAGTATCCTGCTTCTTGAGGGTATCGGTCGCAGTCTGAACCCTGATGTGGATCTACTCAGCAGCTCACTGCCAATTCTACGTCAACTCAGCGCCCAGAGCGGCCCAGGTATGGCAAAGCATGGCGACTTTTCCATGCTAGTGGTATGGCTGGGATTAGAAGCAAGACGATTTATGCAAGCCAGCATCGAAGACGTAAGTTGCTTAGTGTCAAACATCTTTCAAAGCCATGACATGCTAATTTTGAAAAACTAGGTCGAACGATGTGTCAAGTATGACCAACTTTCCCCCAATGTATAATTATAAAGACCTTTTTTAAACTAGATTTTGTGGAGTGCAGCATCAGAAGGCGTACGGGTTGGAATGATATATACGTAAGAAATACATGAGAGACACGACTTAACAGAGACTTACTCTTAGATGTGTGTAAATTCATTGAATTATTATATAGGCTGGTCCCGTTTCTAACGATAAACCGCCGCTTTCACGTAATAATATCGTGAGTCTACATCTTCGCTTAATACCGTCTAAATTTGACGTTGTCTTGATTCACGCCTTTCTGTCTTTGGGTGCCTATTGAGCACTTCCTATACCATAGTTGCACCATAACGCCTAGATCTCTAGAATCACGAAGAAACGAAAAGGAACTCCTAATCCGTACTGGCACTCAACTCCATAGACTTGTCCCACAAGTTCCTCAGTATGGCTGCGGTACCATCTTCCTCTTCACCACCAACCAGGCTTGATCCGCTTAGCCGGTCAGTAAGCCTGCCATCATCGTCGTTGCCGTCGTAGCTCGACGAGGCACCGTTGGTTGTCCGTACTGAGGTAGGGCGTTTCGGCGTCATCGGTCGTCGAGGATCAGGCATGCTAACGTTGCGGGTGTGTTGGCGCATAGTGAGATCCGTGGAACGCTTGCCGTTTGTCGAAGCGGTGCCAGGTCGTGGGATGCGCAATGATTTGTCCATACCCGGGAGATGGTTGAGACGCTCGAGTGAACGAGAAATGGGGTTGAGATGTCTTCGAACAACGAGATACTCCATGCCTGTACGCTCCAAGAGCTTGCCTACACGTGGATCTCGACTGTTACCTCCGTCATATCCGGGACCGCCGACGCCGATGAGTGGAGTATGACCGACTACACCTCCGACACCACCAACTGCTTGCCCGGGCTCAATCACGGAACTGGCTCGCTGCAGGTTAAGCTTCTGCTGTGTTCGCGATGTTTGAGCGGCAGGCGGCGCAGCCCGTCGGGCCGCTTTGGGCGCTAGTGCGCTATCATCAATGTCGTCTTTTGGTGCGCTTGTTGGGGGTTCTCGGCGCTCCTCACGGTCGCCTTGCAAGCTGGTCACAGAGCGAGGTTTTTGAGGCGCGTCATCGTATCGGCGAAAGTCCCCCCGAGGTGGCCGGTAGAAGGATCCCTCACTAGTCAATCCAGAACCAACAGCCTCGACAAACCGGGACGTCAATTCGTCCTGATTACTTCCCGCAGGAGTTCCTGACCCTATGGCATCAGCAGAGGCTGGCGCAAAATGGCGAGGAGAGATCTGCGCCAGGTCTGCGCTCATCTGGGGCGGAGCTCCGTGGGACGGAGTGCGCTGTAATATGCGGGATGTGAGATACTCCTTGTGATGTATCGTCTGCAACTCGGGGCTTGTTGAGTTCCGCTGCTCCGGTTCGTGCTGCGGTTGCTCGGCCGGCTTTGGAGTGGCGGAATCGTTGGGTGTAACCGGTCTTGATCCGCCAGGGCGGTCGTCGGGGTGGTGCACGGAGTGGTTACTACTGTTGAGAGAGCCCTTGCGGGAGAGGTAGGGGGAATTAGAGCCACTCGCGTCGACCCATTCGTCCTCCTCGTTACCCAAATCGAAATGAACCTGCGACTTGCCGTGAGAGATTTGAGGCTGATAAACAATTGTTGTACTTGAAGCGCGCTTCAGTTCTGCAGACCGAGTGCGCTTCCCGACTTCTGTATGCGAGCGATTGCGCTTAAGTTTTGAGTGGGAAGGACTCTTGACGATTCTCGCATGCGAGGGACTTTTGACCAGTTTTGTCTGGGAAGAACTCTTGTCGAGCTTTGTATGGGAAGAGTTCTTGGTCAGCCTCGATTGAGATGCGCTCTTGGTAAGGTTGCCAGACGAAGACTCGCGAGAAGAGAGTTTTGCGTCGCTGAGAGCTCGTCGATGAGAATTGGGGCCGGAGGAGATTCGGTGCTGCTGCTGGTGCTGCTCGATCTGATCGGGGGTATCGGTATGGCGACGGCTGAGCTTAGGCTGCTTCGGGGCAGTTTTTGATGCTGGGCCGCGGGCGTGGTGGAGGTGACCAACAGTGTGCTGTCGCTGGTGATGACGATGGTGTCTCCGATGCTGCTGCTGGTGTTGGTGTTGCTGGTTAACACCGCTGCTCTCGCTCTGCGAATCACTCTCCTGATGGTTGAGCGGAGGTCGTTTTGATTGGCCGCTCAAGGACGATGCGCTGTCCGCATCTCGGGTGTGAGGCATGGTTGGTAGGGATTGGAGGTATAATACAGCGAGATAAAGGTTGCGCGCAGTTCGTTCTGGGTGATGCGACGGCGAATTGGTCGTATCGTATCTGACTGATCTCGAGCGGTAGAAATATTTTCAACTTTTCGCGACTTTTCTCCTTTGTTGTGTTTGCGACTGACTACAAACGTTATATTCCCTTTTTGGCTGTACCGATGACCAGGGTATCTAATATCATGGGCGCTGCAGCAGCAATTGCAAATAAATACGTGACAAATAGTGAGAAAGGTTGTAGGAGATTAATTGACTCCGTGTCGTATCAAAGGTTCAGCTAGTCGTCGTCTCGGATCGCGAATGGTGGTGGTTCCGTCCCCGTTGCCGATTATGGAGCTCCCTTTTTAAGTCAGATTTGTAGGGCTCCCTTTCAGTGATGTCAATGTCAATGGATCGGCCACGAGAAGAATCGGTGAAGGTCGAGGGCAGTGGAGGAGCGGAGATGGGCCGGCGATCACTAAGAGTCTGGAGTCTGGGGAAAACAAGAAGAAGATGACGAAGAAAGGGAGAGAAAATTAAAGAAGAAAAGTGCCCGGCGTTGAGCAGAAGCAACTTTTGACGTAAGGGAAGGTCTAGTAAAAAAAAAAGTATGGACAAGGTCGGTAGGCGAGTAAGAGTAAGGTACCGTAAGGTAAGGTCTTGGTCTCGTTACTAGTATAGGCGAGCAATTCCAGACCAGACAGACCAGGCATGGCCCTAGAAGCAACGAACAACAATCGAGAGCCAAACAAGACCAACAAACAGAGCGGCGGAGATGAAGCTAGTCTACTGCCGAGACAGAGGCTGCCAGTGCTAAGACCAGTCAACTTGACCTGAGTTGCATGAATGAATCTTTAGTATTAGGTAGGTCGGTATACTGTAGTACCTTAGGCCGTGATGGAGAGGAGTGGAACGAAAAAGAAGGCTTGCTAATTATCAAGATTGGGTTTGTCCACAAAAGGTTTTTAGTTTGAGCTCTGACTCTGACTCTGACACTGGCTCTGGCTCTGAGGTTTAAGTGTGCGTCTGAGAAAGGTCTGGCTTGAACACGGCCGAACAATAAAATGAGTTGGAGCTAGTGAGCGAACGAAATAATTACTTTGATGGTGCAGCAGTAGCAGCAGCAGTGATTAGCGAGTGAACATGTTGAGGTGTGATAGTGCGAAATGCCAAGCAAGTAAGCCAACAAAAGATTAGAGAGTCATTCTATTTAGAACACGACTGAGATGAGAATGAGATCCATGAGATTCATGGTCGCAGGCCGACACGGAGCCGCAACCGGAACCGGGTTCCATGGAATATCCCTCTTTGGCAATCCGAGACCAATTACGAAGCCTTTGGTTCGCTGTGTAACTTGTCACAGAAATGAACGAACCCGGAAAAAGGACATGGACTAAAAAGAGAAACATGGGTTGACTTGACCACCACTAACTCAATCATGAATGCGTCACCTGTAATACACACTGCATTAGCTACCTACCTACGAACCGCTCGGGGCTCGCGGAGACCTACATACACTGCTAGACGGACCCTGGCCCGGCCTTTACCTCTGCCATTGCCTTGTTCTCTTACGGGCCGACTTTAGGCGGCATAACCGTGGAGTGATTCACCAAGGTAATCTTTGACGACCGTCATAGTCACTGTGTCGTTCATGGGACGAAAGGGTGATGAAACCGAACCATATGATTTGATTCGTGCTCACCAAAATCATACACGACAACTTTGCCTACCTAGGTACCTACATAAGCTAAATTAGTACCTAATTGTCTCTGTCTACTCGCAGAAGCAAGACCCATCACCAGACATGACAGCCCATAGAAACAAATAGTGCAGGACTTAGAAAGAGGCCATCTGCCATCTGTAGATATAGTTTGAGGATGCTCTAAGATGTGGCTCGTCAGTTTGGAAATCCTTCCTTTCTTATTCACCCTCATCTTCGGGAAGCTTTTGGCGGGGATAATCCGGGGTGCCTTAAAATACTACGCACGTGACCTTTAACTCCAGCTTGGACTCTTCAATCTCGTCTCGTGCAGTGAGTGCATCAAGGAACCCCACGAACCAACCCATCACGACTTCGAATACATAGGCACCTGTTAGAGCCCCCGATTTTTGGCATTATTCATCCCTTCCGACCTCAGAAAGAAGATTCCAGACCATGTCGTCCATCGCTGAAATCGAACAAGAGAAGAAGACGTACCAAGAACAAGTACGACTCCCATCCTATCATCCATGATATGTCATTCATACTGACCACTTCTCTCTAGTTCGATATCGTTCTCGGTCAGCTACGCGATGACCCCGATAACGTCGAGCTCAAAGCTTTAAAGGACGAGTTGAACAGCTTCATCGATCTTCTCAATGAACAAATTGCTGAGCTCAAGCCTGCCCAGGCGCCCAAGCCCGCCCCCAGAGAACCATCACCGCCACCTCAGCCCGAGAAATGGTCTCGCGAGAACCATCCGGCCTTTAAGAAAGCAGCTCCAGTGGAGGAAGAGAAGCAGGCTCCTGTAAACTACCAGGTCAACGATACAATTCTAGCCAAGTGGGTTTCTGGTGACAAGGCTTTCTACCCAGCGCGCATCACATCTATCACTGGATCCTCAACAGACCCTATCTACACCGTCAAGTTCAAGACCTACGATAATACCGAGACCTTGCGGTCTCGCGATATTCGACCTGTGTCAAACAAGCGAAAGGCGGACGGTACGCCAACAACTTCAGCACCAGCAACACCTCCGGCCCCTGGACTGGTTTCATCAGCGGGCGCGACAGTATATCCTGAAGCGAAGAAGGCAGCCGAGCAAGATGGTGAAGTAAAGCCTCCCAAGGCCAAGAAGATCAAGGCCAAGAAGGAACTCGAGAAAAACAAGAACAAGTGGCAAGAATTCAGCGCAAAGTCCAAGTTTGGAAAGAACCAAAAGAAGGACAGCATGTTCCGTACTCCAGACGGCGTCCACGGTAGAGGTATGCATTTCTGTTTCGCATATCCATGAATCAGACACTAACTTGTTCTCAGTTGGCTTTACAGGCTCTGGCCAGGCCATGCGAAAAGACCCCACTCGAAGCCGTCATGTCTATCAAATGAACGATGAGCTAGACTAATCACCTTTCTCTCTTGACAGGGCACTCGGTTCGATACTCAAGAGCACACAGGGGCGTTCGGGAAGTCTCAGAAGCTTATTGCTTTGTTTGGTAACATGCCTTGCATTTGATCACAGCAGAGGCTAACAACTTGTCTTTCTGGCGTTTAATCCAGTTCTTCCTTTTCAGACTCAAGTATATAGGAGCGACGCGGTCTATGTTTATAGACTAGCCGGTGTTAATCAAATAATGTTACATGAGCACACAACACCTCTCCCCCTCGGCTTTGAGTGTTTTACTAAGTTGGGCTGGCAGGAATCATTATTGCACAAGTTGCCTGGCAGCCTAGTAGAAGTTCGGCGACTATTTCCCACTAAGATCGATCTTGGGGCAGATGTCTTGTGCTATCTTCAAAAAGGCACTCGCCCTCTCACTCGTAGGTTCTGCCACTACTGTGGGTTTTCCTCTGTCCCCATCATCTCCAATATTGGGATGTAATGGGATGTCACCTAGAAAATCGATCTGGTGCTCTTGACATAACCTCTCAACCCTTGCATTGGAACCAAAGATATTGGTTTCTCCGTGGCAATGCGGGCATGTGAACAAGGACATGTTCTGTACCAAGCCGAGGATATTGACATCAACTGTTTTGAACATGTTGATACCTTTGACAGCATCTTTGGTGGCAAGAGTATGAGGAGTTGTGACGATGACAGAGCCTGGTGGTTGTTAGTAGAAACAAACGTGACATCTCATAGAAACGCACCATCTAAAATAACCTGCTGTGTGATGGTCAACTGTGTATCTCCTGTACCTGGGGGGAGGTCTAGGACAAGAACATCAAGACCACCCCATTCTACCTCATGTAGAAGCTGCTGAATAGCCTTCATCACCATGGGACCTCGCCAAACTACTGGTGCATTCTCACCAACCAGATAGCCCATGGACATAGTCTTGACTCCATAGTTTGTGAGAGGGATGAGCTGGTTATCTTTGTAATGTCAGTCCATGCTCAGAAGGCGTTATGAACTCCAGTGACTGACTATTCGATAACCTCGGTTCTCCTGAGAGGTCAAACAAGGTTGGAATAGATGGACCAAAGATATCAGTGTCCAGGATCCCAGCACGAAAGCCAAGGCGAGCAAAAGCCAGAGACAGATTTGCTAGTCGCCTTTGTTAGAACACCTCAAGTCTCGGGAGACATCTATAGATACCTGCAACTGTGCTTTTGCCTACACCACCTTTGGCTGAAGATACCGCAATGACTTTCTCGACACCGGTGATTTTGCGACGGACTGGACGTTTACCCCAGGTCGGCGGCGTTCCTGATCGAGGGAGACCCTGCAATATTGTCAGTCATACTCTAACCTGATGGTACTCAGCACTGAAGAAAGTCACTCACTAATGGATTTTCATGTTGCAGCGCCCGGAAGCACTGAAAGAGTCGGGCAGATGTTGGACGCATACTGAGAGTATTTATGGCTTTAGATGGTATATAACTAAGAACCTCGGCGTCCTAAGCTTGAACTCCTCAATTCGAAGTGATAGGGAGTTTTTCAATGTCTATAGTGTCTAAATAAGTGTCATATTGAATTGTCTACTCATAGGATGTCAAGGATACACGAGTGAACCAAATGAGGTGTCATGTGGAATTCATCGACGCTGGGAGTTTGAGCTAGCGGACTATACAGGGCTCTCTCCACTAACACTGAGTTGCGACGATTCTGCCAGCTGCCACCGCCTAAAAGTTCAAGGCCATTCCTCAGAAAATTTCCAACGTGGGGGCTTCTGTTCGTTTGTTAGTGGAAGACTTGACAATTGAACCATTAAAATGGCCAAAGCAAAGGGTCGCGCAAAGCAATTCCAAGACTTGGACGAGCCTATCGCCAAGGGTAAGTCACTACACTGCCATATAACCTATGGTTCCTAATCATCAAAAGACTACGATCCCGAGGCCAATGTCGAAGCTAGTGAGGATGGCAGCGGTAGCGAAGAGAGCGAGGATGAGAACGCGGGTACTGAGCACTATGTTTCTGTCGGAAAGAGTAAATTGAGGAAGCAGGAGGGTATGTCACTGGGTCCCCAGTACCGAGGCTCTCGAGTTTCGCGAGATGCGCTTGAAGAAGAGAGCGAGTCCGAAGACGAAAATGAGGACGAGGAGTCGGGCGATGAGGAATTCGACGACCCTGAGACCGCAGATCTAGCACGCGACGAGGCTGAGGCCAACGACTCAGAAATCGAGAGCGACGACGCCCTTGGCGAAAGCGATGAGGAGCGCTTCAAGGAGTTTACTTTCCGAGGAAGCTCGAAGCCCAAAAAGCCCGTCAACAAGCGAGCTACTGCTGCTGACTACATGTCTTCTTCCGATGAAGGTGGCGCGGATGTTGGCGAAGATGAGGATGACGAATCCGAGTCAGATGAGGACGACATGGACGATGGCCTTGACGCTCTGGTCGATGGCGAGGAAGGCTCCGACGATGAGTCGGATGAGAATGGCGATGAGGAGGGCTCGGGAGAAGAGGAGGAGGAAGGGGACGATGACGGTAGTGAAAGCGATGAGGAAGAATCAGAGGCGAAGGCTAAGAACGTAAAACCCATGATGGCAGCCCTATCAACCCGACCCGATGTTGACAAGGGTTTGGCAATCCGTCAGCAGCGCAAGGCCTATGACGGGCTCCTCAACATTCGAATTCGCCTACAGAAAGCCATCATTGCTGCCAACACCTTTGATACCCTCGACAACAACCCCGAGCCTGAATCGGAGCCCTACGAGGCTGCTGAAGAGGCAGCCATCAAGCTCCTCAACACCATCAGCAGCCTTAAGGATAACTTTGGACCATCTCGAGCTGGCGAGAAGCGAAAGCGTGAATTAGATGTGTCTATGGCCACAAGCGAGATCTGGGAGCAATTACAAGCGGAGGAACAACGGTCTATCAAATCTAGGGAGGATCGCCTTGAGAAGTGGTCTCGCAAAGTGCAGTCTGTTAATATCACAGCACCCAAGGGGCTCGAGTCGCGAAACAAGACTCTTGTCAGTGCCCTCAAGGAGCAGCTCCTTGACCCCGATAACCGTCTCGCCAAGCGCTCTCGCGTCCCTCGTTCATGTGCCCCTGCGCAAGCTGCCAAGGGTGCATCGGAGGACAACAACATCTATGACGACGCCGACTTCTACCAGGTTCTCCTGAAGGAGCTTGTGGACCAGCGCACAGTGGAGGGCTCATCGGGAGCTGGAGCTGGAGCTGCCGTCCCCACGGTCGTCCTCACAGCAGCCAAGGATGTTAAGTCACGAAAGAATGTTGACCGCAAGGCCAGCAAGGGCCGCAAGATGCGCTTCACGGTTCACGAGAAGCTGCAGAACTTCATGGCACCTGAGGACCGACGTGCGTGGGAGCAGGGTGCTATTGACCGCTTCTTCGGCACGCTCTTCGGCCGCAAGATGGAGCTTAACGAAGACGAGAGCGAGGATGACATGGATGTTGATGTTGAGGAGGCAGGACTCCGGCTGTTTAGAAACTAAACAGGGACGGACATACGAAAAAAGTTGTAATTGTAGATGTCATAGACTGTTGCTTAAGCATTACCAAAATACCAGGTACAAAGAAACATGGTCATCAAAACAATGTGAACTCCTAGGTGCACCAGTGGCCCCCCCAAAGTCTTGGTTGTTGAAGCCTCCTCCTCTGTATAGCCATTCATTCGCATATAAGCTCGATAAGTAGGCCATAAATGCCAGAAGGAAAAGGCGAGCGCAGCTTGACGAGTTGCGTCATCAAACGGACGCCGGATAAAGATGAGAGCAATGAGGTTACTCGTAAGAAGAAGGCCACCAAATGACTGAAGAATCAGAGCCGCCGATTGAGGAAGCGGTTGAAGTTGTGATGAGGGTTTCAGGATGAAGGTCAAGGCAGCTGGGGTCTCAATGAGAGCATGGATGAGGAAGGGGGTCGTTGCTGTGAGCAGCATGATGATGATGATGATGATGATGATGATGATGATGATCCGATGCTGGAGTTGTAAAGTTATTCGATGTTAACGATAAGGAAGAGGAGTGGAATCTAGACAACGTCGTGATTTTTAAGATGAGATATATGGGTTACAGATCCTGACTTACTAAGCTACGGATTTGCTGACCATACCCACAGCCAAGACAAGCATGAGTGAGGTTATACCATCGACGTGCTGAGCCCAAACTTTCCCTGAAACCGTAGTAAGTTATGTAGTAGGTTTGTCCAATTTATCTCGAGGTTGTTGCACAGTTGCCAGATGTGCTTCTAGCGTATCCCCAACCATAACGGCCTACAAAACAAACAACTCAACTGCCTGGACACAGAACCTCAAATCTTCATTATCAAATAGTACATTACTAACTCAATTCGCATCTCCATTTTGAGCGCCATATTACGCCACCAGATATATCCAAGACTATCTGAAAGTCAGTGTACAGGAGGGGATATCATATCTAAATACTAGCAATATACAAAATACTTAGCTAAGCATGCTTGGCTAATACATCTCCTTGAACTGAGGAAAGACAGTGCCATCAACTCCAAACATGCCGCCGTTGGACGCTTCGGAAACCTCGGCATTCGGCCCCTGCTGCCCCTCATTATCGTTATATTGGAATCCATTCAACCCTACATAGCCCTCGAACATTCGTGACATCTCGGCTTGAATGCGTGATCCATTCTGAGCCATTGAGTCTGGGGTGGCAGCTTGTGATTGCTGACCAGGAATAGATGGCTTGCGGAACGGCTGCTGTTGTTCCATATGGCCTCGAGCAAGCCCTATCATGCCCAACGCTGCTGTTGACTGGGGGTCGTCCTCAGCATTAAGTCCGAATCGCGGTGCCACGTCTTTGAGTGATCTTATTGTCCGCCAAAGTCGCTGCGATGCCCAGCTCTTAGCGGAAAGATCCTTCACCAGCTCGAGGGCCATATAAAACTCCTCACGACAGGAAGCGCTGAAGCGGACCGGGGCATGAACGGATGCGAGGAAGACGACCGCAATAGCCGATGTGAGGAATTGATGGTAGAAAACCTGTACACGTCTGTATAAATTGGTTGTGTTGTTCAGGTGGCTAAGGTATCGGATAGTGTCTTTGGCGATGTCAACTACACGTTCTGATTGTGCAGGATGCGCCATGATGCTTGTAGCGCTATGCAACACAGGCGTGTAAAGCCAGATCCGCATCTGCATATTGTTAGCCTATACCGACCGAGTCTCGAGAGCAACACTTACTTGATTCAGGCGTAAATATGTCCAGATTCGTAGGCGTTGCAAATTATAGGACGGAGTCGACGTTATATGCTTCTCCTTATCCCAGTTACGAACTTTGACCTCTTCGGGAATCTGTTCATACCACTGTAACAACTCCTGGTCGACATTCTCCAGTTCCGCTGAGCGCAAATCGCGTGCCAGAACCGGTCCAAAATGAGCTACTTGTCGCCACACCGTTGCACCTATCCGAGAATAGGTGATCATGGCCACAAGATAAGGATATTCCTCCTTAAAAATTTGTTAGTTAAGACTGGGGCTCTGAGGTCATCAAATACTCACTGGAAATGGCAGTTCTGAATCGATTTCTTCATCTTGAACGACGAAAGGTAGCCCAGTTGCAAAAGCCCATCGCCTATCCAGGACATATGCTGACCAGAAGCTGACGAGAGCATTCTTACGTTCTTCTTCATCCTGGATCCTCATCAGGCCTGTTCTTTGATGAATGCCAAGCTCTAGACATAATCGTGCGACATGACCCATGACTCGCCAAGCCAATACTTCATCGTTGGAGAGAAATCTATACCCAGCAACAAGAGCCAGGATTGGTAGGGTTGCAACATCCGCAGCCTCAGCCATGAGCTTCCGATTGAGCACCGTTTCCATGCTCTCAAACAAGCGAATGGCTTTATCGCTATGCCCGTGCTCTTCTACCACTAGAGCACAGCACATGATGATTTTGAGCTGTAGAGTCTTGTCGTCGTTGACAAGTTCTCTGGGGCTTTGTAGCCGTAGAGTTTCAAGAAATGTGGCCATATTTTTGGCATGGGATATCACGGTTTGAATGTTGAGCACTGGGTACATGATGCCGATCTCTTCCTCGTGCAGACGACACAGGCGAATCATTTCGTCCTTGTCGAATTCGTGGAGGGGATCCCTTGGTCGCGTCGACATGGGGCCCAAGCCATCATTCAGGTGTGGATTTTCCTCGTCTGATATGCCTTTGTAACCCATGTTGTTGATAGTATTATTGGCAACGTCGAGACTGAAGGCCATGCTTGTTGGACCCCGGAAAGAACCATATTTCGAGATGTCCTGTCGGTTAAGTGAAGTAGAACTATGAGAAGGTGAAGGGGCGACTGCCGGCGTGCCGTGGCCGTGGGTCATTGTCCGGTCACCGAGTGAGGAATATCGGGCAGGTTCGGACTGAAGGGCCTTGACGGTTTGGTGAAGCCAGCCGACTTCTTCTTGAAGGCGGCCTAGTTGTGATGTGACCTGCTTGAACTCGTCGGATTCCTTAAAGTTGCCGGAGCAGCAGTTCGGGGCATATAGACAGGCCAAGTTGAGGTTGCCGCATCGTTGGCAGGGAGTTTCGCCATTGCATTTTATCTTTCGTCTCTTGCATTCATTGCTATGTGTTGTTAGCATATGCGCTCGTTAGGAGCCAAGATAATGCAGTGTTATACTACGCGGTCGCGGCGAAGATGAACACATTCAATGGCGGAAGCATACTGACCAAGCTATTGATATGTACTATCATGGTGAAGAATGCAACGTTAGCCTGAGTGATCTTCAAGTATAGTGACCCGGGGAGTGGCATGAGAATGAGTGGGATCAAAGGGCTGAAACATGAGTGGGTTCGGATTGCCGACCCAGCCGTCTGGGTTCGTTTATGTTGTGCAACAAGGAGGCCGAGATGTTTGATGTCCGAAGACTCGAAGGACTCGATAGGCGAGTATCGTGCAGTCTTGTGTAGCCCTCTCAAGAACGGACCCCTCTTTGGCCGTCACGAAGTGCGTCCCTGTCCGTGAAAGGTGCCTCACCTCATCTCATCCTTGTCTCATGTGATCTCATATCATAATGGCCCAGGGGTTGATAGTAGATGTAACGAGATGGTCAGAACTCACTCTATTTCTTTTACTTCTTGTTTGCTTTGATCCATTGCCTTGACCATCGTCTGTCGACTTCCTCTTATTGGCATTGGACGCACTCGCACCGTGAGCGGAATTGTCGCCGACAGAGGCGGAACTTGGACTGGCATGATTCTCGTAAGCAATAGGAGCACCTGTAGAGGCTCCCACGGCGCTCCCGGGGGTACGGGCTGGAGTCCCGCCTCGTCCGGCGCCGGAGCCGGGGCCGAGAGACGGGCTCGAGGTTGGATTCAATACAGGAACTTGGGCAAGGAACCGAAGGTCGCTTGCTTGTGTCTCAATCTGCTCCATTGTGCTAAAATGGCCATCGACTGTGGCGGAGTCGTCGGAAAGGTGAGAGTGAGAGAGCGATTGATGAGACAATATCTGATGATGAAGAGCGTGAGGGTGAGTGTAGGGTGAGTTTGGCTGCGATTGAGGGTGAATGTGATGATGAGGGTGGTGGTGAGGGCGAGGGTGATTGTGAGCGCGAACTGCTAGAGGTGACGCGAATTGTGCATGCGTAAAAGGTATTATCACTGGACTTCCAGTTGGGTCATGGTCGGGGGCCACTAGGTCGGTAGCAGTATGAGTAACAGGGCCCGGGCGCTGAGAACTGCGCCTACGCCAACGCCAGGTGCCACCATGACCGTCGTTCCCGGGTATGCTCTGGTTGCCAGGATCTAGCGGTATACCCACGTGACCCGGATATTCTGAGGTGATAGGAGCGGAATGAACGGCCCTGCCGCCGTGGAAATCATCGGCTTCAATCGCTTGGTGCCGCTGAATAACACCTCCATCCATCTCCATCTCCATCTCCATCTCCCCCTCGGCATCCCCCACACCGAAGACGTGATAATAGCCCTCCAGCCTTGCTTCCCTTCAGTAATCACCTGGAGGCTGAACCGTTGTCTACTCTCTCCCGTGCGCGCAACGCTAAGGAAGAGCAATGCCGGGAAAGGGAATTCCAACCGGATCCAACCAGAAGCGTCCCTCTTAGAACTGTCGGATCCGCATGGACTGACCCAGAGTCTCGGAGCCGAAACCTAATCAAATTGCGTCCCGTTCACAGGGTAATTTCGATTGGGCAACAATCCCAATGAGGCCGGTGCTCTAGATCCAAGAGTCCTGTGCTCCTGTGCTGGCCTGTCGTTGCAGATTCCTCAGCAACGATTGAGTGTCTGTTGTGAGGATATCCGTGTTGGTGTCGTCTCGGTATCCATACAGTTGAAAGCTGGCGGTCGCAACAACAACCCAATATGATAATGACTGCGAACAATTGTCGAATCTCCCGGGTCTGCCACGAGATGTTGAGCTCGGATTTCGATGACAGCTCTTCGATCTCTCGTTTATTGGTGATTCTTCTTTCGTCGTGATATGCGATACTTCTTTAACACAATCGTTGATGGGGATCTCGCTCAACTTAAACAACTATACCGGCTGTTGAATACTCAACGGCGAACTCTACACAGCGCTCACCTCCCTTGCTCTCTGCCTTACCTGTGGAGATTGACCACCGCTCTAGCTTCCTTTGGACATTGTCCTCTTATCACGCCGCACGCCTAGCTTCATAGTCACAGTTTGGATGCCCTCTTGGCGGAGACTCCTCACCTGCACGCCGTCAAGTTACTCAAGGGGCATACAACCCACCCTACCTAGTTACCTGACAAGGCCCTGACCAGACGTCAACTAGGCGGCTAGGCCTATGCCTATGTGGCGTGGCCCTGATCCGAACCGTCCGGTATCGCACACGTTCCACGCCTTACGCTCAGAATACTCTTCTGGGCCATGGCACGCATCACAAAAGTCTCGATGATGGAGAGACATTAGTAACTCCTCTTGGCCATCCTAGATCTTGAGTCAGAACTTGCAGGTTATAAACGAAGGTTTCTCTTCCATGGCGTCTAGGAGCTACCCATCGACAGCCACAAGTATAAAAGCTTCGGTTCTCGAATTTGGGCTCAAGCCTCTTCCCCACGGCCGGGTCAGCAACCCCCGTCTTGCGCGCCGTGCACAAGAGCTTAAACCCCCGATACGTGCTTCACTTCTCATAAGACCGCCAATCGAGCTCGTATCATGTAGATATTACATAGCAGGTGTACCTTCATCAACTATCTGCGGCAAACTTCATTAACTACCATGCTAGTGTGGGTGGGGCCTCCGTCAAACCTGCAAGCCACAGGGTGCTTCATATCGAGACGAGTTCCTGTTTCGGGACGCCCTCGTCTTTGAATCTCTTCCGATTGGGCTCACCATTGTTTCGTCAGCCGGTGGCTGTCAAAATGCCTTGGAACTCGTGGGATGACCCTGTCTAGTCAAGCTTTTTGTCTCCTGAGGCCCCAGCCATCCCTACAGCATATCCAGCATAGAAGCATGTTTCAAAGATGAGGACTCGGAAGTCTTTAGCCTTGTCGATGCCACGAGGTTGAGGATCGTTTCGCCCACTTTGTTAGTAAGTCCAAGCTGAAAGAAAATACGGGGCAAGAATCCACTTGATGGGTCGTCATTGCTCAAGCGCTGTAAGTTGGCGCGGCAAGTTCCTTGTTCATCCTCGTGAGTTGACATCTTGGCGGCAGCTAATCCACTTCGAGGCTGTTTCTCGCGGATGTCACCTCAACTATGTGCTGATCTTTTAACCGACCACATGGCATAGCGTTCAGTGTCAAAACTGGCGGCGCTTTTGTCAGTCTCGGATTTCGGGAAAGGATTAAACTAAACGACAAGGCTCTTATGTATGATCAGATCAAAATGCTGGAGAAACACCCCCTGCCTAGTACCGGTACATGAGCATATCCTGTACCGAGAGCTCCACTAGCCTCGGTACGCAGAGCGTGAACTTTGAAGAAGATGATGATGCCCCTTGGTTGAACTATATCTCAGCTCAAGGACGACGAGTTTGGGCACTCTTCGCTACGTCAGAGTGGCTCGATATCTGAACTTGAGCGCTCATGTGTCAAAAGAAGAAGAAGAAGAAGAAGAAAATCTTATCAGTCCGGCATCTCGACTCAAGTGACCAGGGTCAGCTTTTGGCTGGTGATTATCTTTGATTAGAAAGCCATTCTAGGGGCCTTCTCATTAGTCCTTGATGCGTCTGTCTGATCTGTCATTTACGCCTTTCTAACGTCCTGTGGGATAGGACCCCTCTTTGTTTTCCCCTTACATGCAACTAACGCCTCTTAACCCCAGTCTATACTACCGCGGTTGGCGTCAAAGTCAGGGCGGGACAAGCATTAAGAGTCATCAAGCGAATTTGTTGATGAAAGCCCAATCTCTTCTGCAGTTAGGCGTATCAGGGCTGTCGTCATCGTATTTGAGGCCAATGAGCAGACAACATTGCTCCGCCGGGTAATAACCCATCAGTCGAGACTGTCCAGTCACTGAACAAGCAAATACACAATGGGTAACGAGGATATCTGGATATGTTGACGAGTTCGCCGATCTTCATTCCTGATTTGATCAACACACCATGCGTTGGTTGTTTTAACAAGGCGCGCTTCACATTCATCCATCATGCAGGAACAAGAACAGACCGCTCTCTCAAACCGGCAATGTATTCGGCAAAGTCTGAGGCTTGGCAACGGTTTTCTTTGTATTCGGAAGAGACAAAGTTAACTTCCCATCTTGGTGTCATGTCTCTGCTAGGCACACTTGCTTACAGACGATCTTGCAGGTAACGCAATAGGAGAAAATTTCCGTTGCACTTCTCAGACCGCCACAATCCTCATGGCCTGCTCGGAACGAGGTCGTGACGACTGGTGGCATAGTTATCATGGTTCGAGCTATCCGCACTTAATAATTCTATGTAAAACCGAAAGCGAGTTGGGGGTCACAATGTTAGGACACACCCCTTGCAGCAGATGTTCAAGTGTACATAATTTCATTACCTCTACTCTTTTGTGGCTTGCTTCTAACTACTGTCAAGTAACGCCCTCGAACTGGATGATGGTGAACCTTGTTCCACAACTCCATGCTAATCTAGATCTAGATGCTCCAACGATTCGGCCACAAACAACGCATACTGATCTGGCGACTCGGCCGGATCTCCGCTGGACTCACGGCCCCACTCACCATCTCCGTCCCCGATTTCACTCGGCTCAGTCTCCGTTTCGGCCGGTGTCTCTGGTGGAGTCTGTAGGCCAGGCAGGCCCGCACCATAAGACGTGTTCCGCTTCAACATGCACATTTCAACTGTGATACCAGGACCGAAAGCACAACCAACGACATAGTCACGGACTCGTCCGTCAGGCGCCATGGCATCCATATCTCTCGAACGTAGGCGATCCATGACACTGAAGATGGTAGCCGAACTTGAGTTGCCATGATTGATGTATGTGTCATAACTTGCCCTTTGGTGTTCTGGTGTGATATCCATGGCCCTCTCAGCGCCTGAAAGGATGGTAGCGCCGCCAGGGTGCATCGCCCAGTCGAAGTCGGCTGCTTTCTGATAGTCTGGAGGGAGTTGGGGCAGAGATGCCTTGAGGTCGTTGAAAGCTGGGCCAATTGAGGCAGCAGTGAGCTTGGGGACACGAGGTGTGAGAACAACCTTCCAGCCTATCATTATGTCAGTTTCGGGCCTGGAAGAAACATTGTGGAGATATTGAAGCTTACCGACTGGGTCAACATCAAACCCCAAGTCATCCTCAGTATCTGGTATGGTCCTGTGGTCCCAGCCGAGGAGGTCATATACTGGTTCAGAAGGTTCACCGATACCGTTGCTTAGCACAGCGGCACTACCGCAGTCCGAAAACAGGCATGCGCCTATTCTTGTCTGCTGTAGCTCGTTGATGCTATCTAGCTCACTACGTACCATAGTGGTGCTAACCTCAAGTGCCACACATAGGACGCGCGCGGGCAGACCGCGTGCTTTATGACCAAGAGCTAGGTTCGCGCCTGTTCGGAGAGTTGCTAGTCCGCCGCTGCAACCAACACCGTGAAGCAAGACTTTCTCTACACCATGCGATATACCGAGACCTTTTGCGACAAAGTGGTCGAAGCCCGGGTTTGCGCTGTCTGTACATGTTGTGGCGACTATGTGGGTAATGAATCTTGTGTCAATCTTGGCCTCGTCAATAGCCTTTCGAGCGGCTCGAATCGCGAGAGGAACACCGTCGGAGAGGAACAGGGAGTGGAGCTCTGCTATTGAGGGCGCATCTTTCTTGTTAACAACTGGGTGGTCGGGTGTTCCAATGGACGAGCGTGTGTCAATTCCGGTATATCTGTTGATTCCGAGGACCTTTTGCATACTATGATGACCCATTAGCCACTGAGGGAGGCATGTTGGTGCTGGTAGGACTCACGAAGGTGTATCGGGATAGAACTTGTCACTAAGGGTATTGAGGCAAGTATAATCTAGTGAATATGGTGGATATTCGGCGCCGATGCCGATGATGGAGAGACCCAGCTCTCCAAATGTGCTTGGAGCTGACATGACTGATATAATGAAGGTATTTGTCGTTCGAGGCGGCTGGCGCTTATATCCCCAACACTTTGTGAGGTGGAGGGGAATAGGATAAATGAGCTGCAGAAAAGCGATTGAGTGGTGTAGCTGTTAATTTAGTATGCTTGAATGGAAGATTGATATCAGGCACATCTAATTGAGGTCGCTACAGAGGAATAGAATGTCGTTGACGTGTTCAATCGCCAATATCTGTTATCTCGTTTGGCCGCGTGAGCTTAGTCGATGACGCTATCTTGATGCCAGGTTCAGATGCAGGGGTTGGATAGATAATTGGGGGGTTATGCGAAAAAAAAAAAAAAATTAGACTGATGATGGTGAGAGGAGAGAATAATAGAGGACAGAACAAGTTGTTGTGGGAAGAGGAAATTGTTTATGCAGCTGTGACACCAAAATGCAGCCAAGGTACCTCCTTGGATGTCACAGTAATGTCTCAAATATGGTTTGGAGGGGCTGCCCAAGCGAAGGGGACGTTGAGGATATGCCGAGATGAATGAAAAGTCACTGAATGATATGAGCTGCTTCTTCTGTTCAAGTGATAATTTAACAAGGTTCTCACTTGTCTTTTCTGGGACATGTCGATATTTATAAGCGTTGACTGTTTCTCGAGACGGAGCAAAGTGGTGACTAGTAGTCAACGAATGATTGCCTGTGATAACTTCAACCATCTCGTTCATGAAACGATCGCTGAAACCTCGTTGGTTCATGCTTCTCTGAGCAAACGTCATGCCTCGGTTGAGGTGTACGTAAATCAGACCGACGGATAGAATCACGTTCCGACTGTGAAAGTATTGGGATATCTTGAACATACATACTGGTTAACGTTGGGTTAGGTCGGGGTTACTAGAGTGGTCGTCCGTCCATCGCATTTCTCGTGACGAATACGAGGGAGCGAAAACACAGCCCTCTTTGCTTACACTGCATGCGAATACGTCCAAATGTCAACACCAACGTAAATCTAAATCTCTGATAGGAACATGACCAAGGCATATTCTCTGGTGAATATCATGCTCAACTTCACTGTTTGTGGTTGATTGTGGGTTTCAAGGTTACATCATGATATCGCGTGTGGACTGAGACAACTTCAACCTTGCAACCCATAGTCACAGTCAAGACGACAATGCATTATCTCAGCTTCGTCTTAGAACAGCCTATTGTTCTATCAGCAACACTCCTTTTATTTCTCTATGTATTAGGAAAGAAATCACCAAAGCCCACGCGCAATGGCAAACCGCTCAGGTTGATATTTACCCAATTTCACATACCCTATGCTCACTCATCATGCCACCTTGCTGAGTGTATGTACCTAACTAACGGTCGACCAGAAAACCTCCAAACTCACTACCACTGGTAGGGAATGGCATCATATTCCTTCAGCCTCGCCAACATCTCTTTTCCTGGTTCCACCGCTGTGAGCGACTGTACGGCTATGAGACTCTCCATATCACTGTTCCTACTCTCCCGCCTGGTGTTATAATCAACAGCCCTCAGAACCTAGAGTTCATCTTCCGCCATGAGGGAATCTTTGAAAAGGGAGACTTCTTCAAACAGCGATCTTGGGACTTATTCGGCCATGGCATCATCAACGTGGACGGCGAGTTCTGGCGTCTGCAGCGCAAGGCTGGTCTACGGTTCCTCTCAGCAGCTGCTTTGAAGACTCTGACGAATGACCGATTACCAGAGTACCTAGAACAAGCCATCCGCGTCCTCAAGGGCAAAGAAACTGGGATAGATGTAGTGGACTTACAGGCCGTGATCCACGAAGTGACGACGCAGCTGATGGGACGAATGGCATACAACATGGAGATGCACGCTGACGATGATTTTACCGTTGCTTTTGAGCATGCCTCAGGGGCCACAGCCGAAAGGTTCCAGAATCCACTATGGCTTATGACAGAAATGTTCTTTGGAACTCGAATGCGACGTTCTATCCGAACTGTCAAGGCCTATGGGCAGCGGATCGTCAAGAGTGCAGTGGCTGATCGCGAAGAAATGGAGGGAAAGTCTCAGTCCGATGCGCCAGGAAGTCTCATTCAGTCTTTATTGGATGCAATTGGCAACGACGATCTTGTAGCAGATGCTGCACTGAATTATCTTTCGGCAGGGAGAGATACTGTTGCTCAGGCACTTACTTGGACGTTATATTTGCTCATGAAGCACCCCGAAGTGACCCGCAAGCTATGCCAGTCGATCCGAGACCTACGAGATGAAATCAGAGGCCAAGGTCACTCCGAGAACGACCCTGATCTTCTAACCCCGGTACGACTCCCCTACGTGCTAGCAGTCTTCTATGAAACCCTCCGCCTTCGACCTCCCATCCCCTTCGAGATCAAACAAGCTCAACAAGAAACAATCCTTCCTGATGGAACATTTCTTCCAAAAGGTGCTGTCGTGCTATGGTGTGCTTGGGCAATGGGCCGCTCTCACACAACTTGGGGTCCTGATGCGGATGAGTTTCGCCCAGAGCGATGGCTAACTACGTCTCCGTCCGGTGATGTGACAGTCATGCAGCGTTCAGCAGCCGAGTTTCCTGTCTTCAATGGTGGACCTCGGGTGTGTCTAGGGAAGAAAATGGCAGAGTTGGTTGCTGTACAGACATTGGCGAGGTTGGTACCTCTATTTGACTTCAGACCTGCTTTCGAAGGCGAGAGGGTGAGCAAGAGTAGTTTGACTCTTCCGATGGAGGGTGGTTTGCCGGTGTATGTGCATGCTAGAAGGACCTCCGACACATTGTAGAGAATATCCTCTAAGAAACAAACTTTTATTACTCCTGGTATCGCTATATAGAGTACGCCTAGTCAAATGTAATCTTAGATCCCGCAAATGCCGCTGTCTTCTCTGCATCCTTCGCTTGCTTCCTGGCTGCCCAGCTAGGATGCAATGGTCCTTCATCATCCTTCTTTGGAGGCGGCCTCTTCACCTCGGGCTTGCTCTCCACTCCCTCACTACCGCCTTGCCTGGCCGCAAGAGGATTGCGAATGCCCTTCTTCCAGGGTGTTCGCGGCCCATCTCCTGGCTCCACAGCACCACGCTTACCATCCCACCCAGAATCACGCCCGCGTTGTGTTTCCCAAGCAGGCTTTTGTAAGTGCTTTGCCTTGTTACCGAATTTCTTCTCCCAAATTGCCTGGCGGGCTCGTTGGCCGCGACGTTTCTTCGCTGGGGCAACATCAACGTCGGAGGCGGACTCAGAACCTGAGATGTAACCACCCATGAGTGTGGGTAGGAAGGTAGATTCACGAGGACGAGTGGGTGCTGATGCCTTGTCCTTGCTCTTCTTCTTCTTGGCTGGAGGTGGCGAGGGCGAAGCTGAGACAGAAAGCTCTTCTTCTTCTTCTTCTTCTTCTTCTTCTTCTTCATCATCTGATTCGGAACCGAGCTCTGGTGCGGCGTCTGAACCAGAAACGGATATGTCGTCTAGGTTGACCTTCTCTTTGCCCTTGAAGCGCTCGAATCTCTCAGCGTCGAAATCGTCTTCGTCTTCAGAATCGGAAGAGCCGCCTAGCAAGTGGTCATACTTGGACATAGACTTCTCTTCGTTCGCTTCATCTTCACTGTCAAGCTCTTCAGGCTCCTGAACAGGATCATCATGATCTGAGAATCCCTCGAATTCCGACTCTTCCTCTTCAACCTCAACCTCATTCTCAATTGACACTCGCACGTCTTCCTTGGCAGCTCTAGCCTCAGGCTTGGGCTCCGCTTCTATCCTATCGGACGGTTGCTCCTCTTTCTCTTCCTTCTTGGACTTTCGTACGCGTTTCGCCTTTCCAGGTAGAGGGACGTCGAGGGCCTGGCAGAAGGTGGTGATGGCGCGGGTGATGGCCTGTTTGACGAGTTCACGATTATATAGTGCACTGGTAACATTGTGTAGCGCAGACTGTTCTTCGGGAGTAAGCTCGGGTTTGGGAACGCCGGTGCGAATCTCTTCGGGGAGGTCGGTCGATGCAGCAAGGTCTTTGACTTTGAGGATCGACGAGTAGAGGTGAGCGCGCGCTGTTTGGTGAAGATCAAGAGACTAGACAATTCTGGTTAGAGGAATATTGATCGAGACCCTGTGCCTCGCGAAGACTCACCTTCAAGACCGTCACTTCTCGTTCCAATCTTTCCTTCTTATCAGGCTCAACTCCATCTTCATGAAGTCTTTTACTGTATCGCTGGCGCTCTAGGCCCTTTGCAGCCTTGAGTGCCTTGGAGACATCATTACAGTGTTTTTCAAGCTTATCCCCAAGATTGGGCTCCCCGCGCTTTCGTTTTGGCATTGTCTGACCTTTTTATGTTGTTGGAAAACCGCTTCCGCAGTATCGCAAAAAAGTTTCTATATCGGAGCCGCAACGAAACTTCCATTAGTGCGATAGATAACGCGATTACTGTGCACTGACGCAAAAACTTGCGGACACATTACAGTGCGAATTGGGGCATCTGGGGATGGTGGGGATTTCGACATTGGACCGATTTGTATGCGGGGGATGCGGCACCGATCATTAATTATCCATGTCTATTATAACTTTGATGGAGCTAGTATCGGATTGTGCATATAAAGAAGCTTGATAGAAGTTTATAACTATTCTTGATGACGGGATGGGTTGGTCTAAGCAACACTACCCACGAAGTACCTATACTGTAACGTACCTACCTACGTGTAATTGATCTGAAAGGAAGATGACATAGATTCTACGGCGAAGTCAGCATACTAATATAATCTTTCACAAATATATCCTGTTTGAGCCTCAGACAGCTTTGGTTCTTACTCGTGGTTCATCTTCCACTCCCTCAGACTTGGGCCGAGTATTATTCAGTAAGAGCAATAATGAGCCTCTTCTTGATATCGTGGTATTCTCATCCTAACACGTCATCCGGTTTCTGTGTCAATGGTATACCCGCGGTATTGTTCGGTTATGATGTTTCTAGGAACATGTTGATCCTACCTAACTATGTGGCTGGCTAACTGCCAAGCGGTGTATGTAATGTCCATC